TGTCGATCGAATAGGGGACTGTGAATAGTTTAACTTCAGATAAAAACCTTTTAATTCAAAATCCATCCGTTGTTGTAGGATAAATTGTTAGGCGCAAATGCTCTAAGATTTCTTGGATTGAAAAGGTCGCAGTTTGACGAAGACCCTGCGGACAAAACGGATACAGTGAAAAGCTAATATTATAATAGTGCAGAGGACTGAATAATTAAATGTTTTTCTGTTAGTTATATAATGAAGTCCGGTTTTGCGGTTTTCGGACCCCCCTTACGCCCCCCTCATGAAGCAGCTTTTAAAAGTGAACAGACTATNGGGGTCACTTCTACGAAAGAGAAAGAGAAATAGGCCTCACCCCTCTCCCCAGGTTTTGACTATTGCCTTTTTTCGCTCATTCCCATCCCTTTGAATCTCGCTTAATCCCCACCCCCTCAGTAGTGGAGAAACAAAATGGTTCTCAATTAATTCCGTCTACGATAGTTCTATACTAAGTCTGTGTCTAAGAGGACTGAACTGAACTTGAAAACTGTGAAAGCTTCGGCTACTTTGGTCTCTGTGCACATATCAACAAACCTGTATGTTATATTTAACCTACTGATTCTGTAAGCCATCTTATACTGTACCAACTTGAATAGCGCGAAATTAACTTGAACTTGAACTTGACTGACATCCCAATCAACAGGTCTGTTATTTTGGAAAAGAAGTGAAGTAATTGTGTAATTGTTCGGGGGTGGGGGGAGGGGGGGGGTGTATTTTGTCCTTCATCAAATTTATCAAATGTTCCGTTCATCATTCTATTCACAGTCCCCTATTTTTCCGTAAGATCGTCGGGATAGAGGACTCTGCGTTACGGGAGGCCATCTTGGATAGGTAAAGCCCGACGCCCGCTCCCTCGGTTTATGTGTGGCTCTATCCTGTCGATCGAATAGGGGACTGTGAATAGTTTAACTTCAGATAAAAACCTTTTAATTCAAAATCCATCCGTTGTTGTAGGATAAATTGTTAGGCGCAAATGCTCTAAGATTTCTTGGATTGAAAAGGTCGCAGTTTGACGAAGACCCTGCGGACAAAACGGATACAGTGAAAAGCTAATATTATAATAGTGCAGAGGACTGAATAATTAAATGTTTTTCTGTTAGTTATATAATGAAGTCCGGTTTTGCGGTTTTCGGACCCCCCTTACGCCCCCCTCATGAAGCAGCTTTTAAAAGTGAACAGACTATTATGTCTGATAAACGCATTTAGAAGGAGTTTATTTATAATGTCCTTTGTTTTTCGGCATCTTGGTGTCTTGCTTTTTCAAAAGAGCCTTACCGAAGGAAACAAGTCTAAACAGTGTTAATTATTGAAACAAGTTCTTATTTATTGGTAACTATTCTTGTACTTTATTTTAATGACTATGATATACATGTGAATACTTTATTTAAAGCGTTTAAGGATGGCTTTACAGTAAAAGTTAAAAAATATTTATATTCAAGTGCAGAACGCAGTTGATGCTAAACGCATTGTTACTCGATTAGCCTTGTTTCAGCTCAGTGAAGGTCAGTGTCGACCCTCAAACGGAAGTCATAAAGCAATTAACTACAGTGGAACCCCGTCAATGCGACCACCGTTGGGCCATAAAATCCTAGTCGTAAAAATGAGGTGGTCGCTTTAACAGGTGATTTTCAAAAAGATGAAAATTAAAATAAGTCTTATTTCTACGTTTGAATGGAAAGAATATGGTCGTAATCACAAGGTGGTCGTCTAAACGGTTGTTCGTATTGCGGGGCTCTACTATGTTGCTGTTAAAATTAATTATCAGGCGAGCTTGTACCCTAAAATAATTCATGTCCATTTTTGGTTATGAGATTAGCGAGTGGAAAACATGCCAGACCGTACGAAATGGGTCTGAGTTTTATAAAAAGAGAAACTAAAACTCGTCTTTGGGCGTTTGCATTGCACGAGTTAGTTGAGTAGAAAATAGTAATAAAATGTATGAAAATGTTTTTATCCATTTTCATTGTTTGTTTTGCTATTTGAAAGCTGATTTACACACAGCGATTGTATGCCCGATTTATTTCCAAAGAAAATATATGGTGATGCAACAGATTATTTTAATCTATCCAGTTTTCAGCCAGTTTTAATCTTTTCGTTTTTCTTTCGAAAAATCATAGCGTGAAAACCGGCTTAAATCCCTTCAGTTACAAGAGCAAGTTTTCTTTAATAAGGAAAACTTCCTCCGCCGTTGCTGCGTAAACCCATTATGTTACGTACTACTTGACTCACAATTTTGTTATCGCTCGGGAAGGAAGCTGCCTCCAACATAAATGTCTGGCAATTGTTTTGAAGCAAGTATGTGTTGCGAAAAGAAAGGTCACGTTCCATATTATGTAACGACGTCTGCTACAGCAAAAATAGGAACAAAGACGTTGCGCTCTGTTTTTGACTGACTCTAGATCATAATAGCCCGGAGGGGCTTCTCAACGAAGTTTTATATGGGGAGGCTCCGCCCCGAGGTCTAACCCCTTAACCCTTTTACGTATCATTTTTGACAGACAAGATACCCTTTCTTATACTTTCCATTGACAAATGGTGCCTCTTTCAGCATACCTCGTTGAGAACTTTACATCCTTTTTTTTACTGCTATAAATGTACAACCAGGAGGCGTCGCTTACCTTTCACCCGCCTCTTTTTTTTTTTTTTTCTCACGAACTCGTGGTTGCGTAAATTAATTTATTTTTATTTTTATTAATTTTAACGATACATTAGTGAGCAGCACACATACACTTTCAGTGAACATTTTCAACTTGGAAGAAGGAGAAACCATGCTCGCCCGGGACAAAGGAAATTTTCATGCCCCGAGCGAGAATCGAACTCGCCACGGACCCGGCTTTATTTTGCCATCAACTATTGACGATTGGACGGTCTTAAAAATAACGGAGAAAATTATCCAAAGAAATGTTTTTTTAACAATAGAAAAAGAAACCCGGGTTAAGCGCTGATCGTCCTTCGAACAACTTCGCCCAGTAGAACATCTGTTGCGCCAGTAAAACAAAAAGTTCTTTTTACACGCCCGAAGCACTCTGGCCAGTGTCTCCTCAAATAACAAGCACTTGAAACGAACCATACGATATCACGCTGATCACATAGCCTTCAAAACCTTTTCATTATGATACACAATTTCAATGGAGGTTTCGCTGTACTCAACCCTTACGTTCAAAATATACCATAATCATAGTTATCTACGGCAAGAACCATCCACCCTTTCCTCTCAACTGCTACCTGTACGCCTAGCAAACATATCGAAGAACGCACTCTCCTAAGCTCCGATTACTCCTAGTATAAACATAAGTTTAATTTTAATTTCAGTGGCTGTAACATTGCCAAATGAGAAAGTGATACGTCTTAAGCGTGCAAAGATATAGCTCTGTAAAGTTGCAAAAATTGACAAACGCTTCTAAGTGGTGGGGGGGAGGGGGGGGGGGAGAGAAGCAAGTTTGTGCCCGGCCCCCAGCATACAAACGACTGTAAAACTTGGCGACTCTTGGTTAGTTTTCAACAAATCCGACTTTTAGACTTTGCAACTTTTCTAATTTAAAGGCGTTCTTTCCATA